TGGATTGGATACATGAGGGTACCCATGTGTCAAATGAGAATGAGCCACTAGTGGATGAGATTCGTCGTATGCTGCACTATGACTGGGTTGCCAATGTGTCAGTCTGCTCAAGGACCGTCAATGAGGCCGCTGATATAGTCACCAAACATGCTCTTGGTTGTGCGCCAGGTCTCACTCACTTCTCTTCTCCAATGAAAGCTCTTAGCCGAGTGCTTGAGAAGGATGCAGGACCTTCTAGCGGTCCTTCTATCGTTAGTTTTTTGCGTGAGTAGTGTTGGTCTCTTTGTAGCTTTGCACTTGTTATAAAAAAAAAGGTTTCATAGGTGACAACAATTCAAAATGGTGGGAAAAGAGAACAAGGTTTTAGCAGAAAAGTGAAAAAATAAACAAGATGAGGGAGGGAAGGGAGTATGTTTCAGAGCTAGGATTTTTTCCCTAACAAATCAATATTGAAGATAATGAATTGGAGATTTTGATGAACAAAGGATGAAGGAAATGAGAAGAGATGATTAAAAGGAAATGAAATAGGAGAGAAGAGGAAGGATGGAGCAAAATGGCATGCAAGTAAAATCACTAAATTTTGAAATCCTAAATTGGTCCCTAAGTAATTAAGGGTTTTGCACTATTGTTAAATAAGATTTTTTTAAAAAAAAACTTAAAGTAATAATAAAAAATAAATTTAAAAAATAAAATATAATTCTTTTTGTCATAATTGTAGGTCGATGACTGCTAAAGGCAACATTAATTATTATTCCTTTCACTTATTTTCATAGGATACAAATACTTGAATTACATAGATTAAAAATTTAGTTAAAATTGCTTAAAGATAATAAATAGGTAAATATGCAATTTATTTTCCAAAAAAATCCTTATTTAAGGAAAATGTGGGTGGGAGAAAATGAGAGAAAAAATAGATGAGAGAAACATATAATTAATTAAAAGTAAAAAGGGAAAATAGCATGATATTATTTTTTAGTGGCATCCAGTACTATGATATGATTTTCATCGTGTATCCAACATCTTTGATATTATTTTTCACTTACATCCATCACCACAATTTTATTTATGGTTTAGGCCAATGGATGCACTATAAATAATATTCATTTGGTACAATGGAAGAGTTTTTAATAGAAATAGAAGTGGAAATGAAAGTGACAGTGAAAGTGGAAATAGAGGAGGAAGTGAGCTTTAAAGTGTGTTTGATTTGGCCATGAAAGTATAGTATTATGTTTAATTTGTATTAGCATTTATAAAATAATAATAATACCAAAATGCCCCAGCTGGAAAAAAAATCACAATAATGACCAACCAATATACCTACTGCTTCATATTGTGTTAATTCATTATTAATCATGGATAACCGTGTTGAATGGTCATCTACATTCCCTTCATCTACCATGAATCGTTATTCCAATTCCCCAAAGTATCTTTATTTCATGGTGAATTATCATTCCAATTGGCCATTTCCTGGTGATAACTCTGTAACTGTGATAACAAGAAAGTGTAAGCATTATAAGGACGAAGTAAATAATTTTCATACTACCAACAGAAAAACCAAACACATAGATGACAAGTAGAAATTAGCGTAAATATATTACATAGTCATTAATAAAGTTCCTACAATAGACCACATTAGTTCATGTTAAAACAACAATCAGTTCAAGTCAACAAGTACAATAATAACAGTGAAAAAAGTAAGTCCTAAATTGTTGGTCCCTTCCACATGTCTGGGTCTTGTGCTGTCGATATCAACCACCTCAACAACTTGCATTTATCATGCGTAAAACCCAAATAAGCTCGCCTAGCCCACCTCAACTGCGTAAGCATCTTAGCACATGCATAATATAGTTGATTGTCATCATTAAGCTCTTCAAGGCCAGCCAGGTGCGCCAAAACCCTATCAACTACTTCAGGGTCTTTGTTTAATGTTCCTACTCGTTGCTTAGAAGCAGCTGCTATAACACTAAGGCTATCAGCAATTTTAGTAGAGGCATCAACTTTTTTCTTCTTCTTTGCATCAAACGTCTCACCCCTCTTCCTCTTTCCATAGCTTCCTGAACCACTTGGTCCAGTATTCGTGGGGTTGTTTAAGTTGCAACCGGCTAAGTCATCTATGACACTTGCATTGGCTGTTGGGTTAACACCAAAATTTTCATCCTCACTGTCCCCTGACCTTTCCTGTTGGTCTAGCCCAAATTTATAAACATCCTCCTCCTCTTCTGTGTTAGCTTGTGGAGCAAGTGTTGGTTGAGGTTGTGAGGCTAATGGTGTGTACATATATAGTCTCTTAAAGCCACAACATCTTTGAATATTTTCATCAAATCTGATGCAAACATCAACCCCTTATGTCTAAATTTCCTGAAATTAGGGTCCACCTATATTAACATAATTAGGCAGAAGTTAGCAATGTCTAAACTGATATTCAAAATTAAAACTCAACCAGCGCAAATAGTTACCAGGAATTTTCGTTTCCAACACTCATTGAAGGCCAACACCCTATTTGTGACTGCATCATAACCAATGCTAGTCTCTCCGGACATCATTTTTTCCTACAACTTCCAATCTTTTCTCAATATGTCAAATCTATTCTTCAGTTGCTTCTTGTCATACTTTTTCCCGCTCCTTTCCTAAAAATTCTTTTCAATTTTGCCCCAATCGGGTCTTGTAAATGATGTTCCTTGTCATGACTTTTGCACTATTTGCTCGGCACAAACATTGATTAGAGTTTTAGTTGTGTAAGGATCCCATGTCGCTTTTCCTTTATCATTGTCCATTTCTCTATGCCCTTTGATTGAGATAAGACTAACTAAATCAAACAAAGCTCTAAACATGTAATAATAAAAGCTATGTTATATAACACATATCCTGTAGCCAAACAAAAATATATATTATTTTCTTAATATTATTGTACATGTTTTTGTTACCAAAATTCCTAATATTATTATGAAGTCATAAAATATTAATTAAGACATTTTGATTACATAAGCTTTTTAGTTTTCTCATTCAAAATTTTTTGAAATCATAAATATATAATCACAATGTCAATGTCCACTATTCTCCAGTGGTAATTGATTATGAAAATTTTTTCAAAACTGAATTTATTGATTATTTTTCTTATTATTTTTGAAAATAATTGTTCATCTTTGAATTGGAGATGCCATATTTTAATAGAGAATATGTCAATATATTTTCTATGAGAAACTTAATTAGGGAAGGCAATTTAGTTAATTGTGCTACCAAAAACCTTAATTAAAGGGACAGAAAATAGTTTTAAAATTAGTTTTTTTAGTCTCTACAAGTTTTTCACATAAAATCACTGAAATCATAAAAATTCAAATATTTAGAATAACAAGCTTGTACAGTTTTCTTTCCAAATTCCACCTGAATAGCAACCGAATGATCAGTATACACAATCTCATATACACATATACACAATCACATCTCTAGAATGATCATCATGGTATGAGACTCATATATGCTCAATTAACACGTCTTGGCAATGAACCAAATCCAAAATATCTCAACACAATGGAATCACAACTATATTCATAATATTCAATCCAGCATTTGAACATACATTAAAATACCATTGTAAACAAATTGATAGATACAGAGGAAGGGGAAGGAGATGAGAGCCACAGAGATATTCTGAGAGTGGGACCATATAGAAAACCACACAATTCATCCACACCCCTTTCAATAACCCATGATACAAAATTCAATTTGAAATCTATGTCTCCAAATGTCAACTATCTAGCCAGATCCCTTCCTTCAATAAATAGCATTAAGCTAATGCATTAATCCACCTCAAAGCTCGAACAAGATGACCAGAACAGAAGGAAAAAAAAGAGACCATGGAAGAAGAAACAGAGCACGACAAAAAATAGAAGCAAAAAAAAAAAAACCATTGGTGAGCAACACGAAGGAGAACTCTTGACCCAAAAATGGGTTTAATTTTCAGGCTTCCATCGGCGAGCAAGGAGACAGCAAATTCAGGCAAGCACAGGGGATCAAACATAAAAGCAAGACAAAAAATTAAACCAGCAAACCTGTAACAAATCCAACCAACCAAAGGCTGCCAGAGGTAGATCGACGGTGTATTGCACTGAGAAGCTAAGATCTCCATGCCAAGTCACATGCATTGGCAGACTGTGGTGACCTCGGTTGCAAACGACGAGAACAGCTTGGGCTTGCGATGAAGGAGCAGCCTTCAGCAGGTCACGCACACCTTACACCCAAGACGATAACCTCACACTAGTGATGGGACAGAGCTCACTGTGACCAGCGATGGAGCTTCTAGGAGGAGGCGATAGAGCAACTGGGATTGGCAGAGCTCATGGGTGAGAGGTTTGGGTAAAAAAAGAAGAAGTGAACTCATGGGGGAATAATGGTAGAAGGGAGAGAAAAATAAAGACGGAATAAATTCCTTGACACACTTGCAGAACGGTCATCTATAAGCTCTTTAAATTAGAAAATAAGTTCCCTCCTCTTGTCTTGTTCCAACGGCACAGTGAGAGAGCTTAAAATCCAATAAGCCTAATGTACTACAAGCCCTGCCAAACATCAACAAATCTTTAATCAGGCTTACCTTCAAATTTAAGCCACATTTGGGCCAGCAAACGTTGACCCAAACAGACACAGTATTGTGTTGTCAAATTGTCAAAACAAAGTTTATAAAAAGAATTTAATATCATTAAACATTATTTAATATTGATAAATATTTTTACATTATCTTTTGCCTCCCTAATAGTTAGGTCTATATTTAATTTTTTTTTGATAACATATTTAATTTTATTTTTTATCAGACATTTTATAACATTAATTTATTACTTAATATTTTATTAATTTGACATGTTATATTGCATTTTTTTACCTATATGCATAAACAGCATTATTTTTATTTAATTATTATCCATCGTTGGACGCCCACTCATTTTTACGGTCCGACTTCCGATCTGGCTTTTAAAAGATTGGCATTAACCCAAAATACATGATGGCATATGTAGCTTTGGGGACTTGCTCGAGACATTCGTTTTGCCCAAAGCCTCGGCCGTTTTCCGGAGTCTTCGTCTACTCTGCTCTCCATCCTCACAGTCTTCCTCTCCCTTCGATCACCATCTTCATCTCCCGTCGGTTCGGAAGCTCGTCTTCCTTCCTTTGGCGTCTCATTCTCGTCTCAGTTTATCCATTCTCTGCGGCGTCGACGTTAGGTATGGGATCCCTTCTCGTGTTTGATTTAGCTGGGTGAGTGGTTGAGTACTGTGTTAATGGTCTGGGTTTGGTGGATTTTGTGCTAATTGTTACGTAGTTAATGAACTGTTCAAGTGATGCTTCTGTTTTGGTTAGAGAAGAATGATACGGAGGAGTTGTTACTTGTATGGTTATGTACTTTTATATCTAGATAATTGTAAGCTTAGTTGCGCTGTTAAACTTAGTCACTATGGAAGAATATCACCTATCCTCATATTTTTGCTATAAAATTAATTCTTTTCTATTAATTGAGTTAAACCTCTTTAGATTTCGTTTGCTGTAAGTTCCTACCAAGCTGGAGAAATTGAACTTCTTATTTACAGTGCTGTTGTCTCACGAATGTCTGCGGAGAATTCCAGTCATTAAGCTATGAGATGATGGACACAGTCTTGGATTTCTGATGTTATAAATGGTTCGGATTGATTCTACATATTTTTCCATAGTAACCTCCCATTAAGTCAGCTAAGATTCTCATTTCAAAATGTATAGTTGAAACTCGAAGAGGATTGACTTAGAGTTACCCTTTTGTTTAAAAGGACCGTAAAAGAAGTATTTAGTTAGATTTTCACCAAGAAAGAAAAATGGAATCTTACTTTCAAATGTTGGCGATGTGAGGATTATATGAATGTGTAATAAAATACTTCAAAATTTGAAACTCGGCATACTTACTTGAAAGAGCAAAATAAGCAGATAGTTCCTCATGGTAAAGGACTTTTATCTTCCTTTGATACAAAAGCAAAAGAGCCTTTCCTGCTGTATTTAAAGAAATAATAAAATGATAGGGAATAACCAAGAGGCCTTCACGAAGTTTTATTAAGGATGAATGCAAACTGGCCAATTGAAGTCTCTCTTCTAAACCTCCTTTAATAGTGATTGACTTGAAGGTGAGTTTTCTCATGTTTCAACTATGGGTTGCTGGTTTTGGTTGAAGTTTCTGGTTGTTTGTATATATGCGAATTTCTTTGGATAAGATTGTCAGTATTATTATTGGTTTTATTTGTAAACTTCTGGGCTTTTTTCTTCTTCAAATAGTTTGTTATGGTTGCCTTTCATTTGTAGAGCAATTTTTGGGAATACTTAGTGCCCTTTTAAGAGTTTTCCACAGACAAAATTTCAGGATAGAATTACATTATAAATTAAAAATTTATTCAAACAGTACTATGAACACACTCCTCAGCATCGCCAATATAAGTTAAGAGTAAGGATTGTTGATTAAATTTCATTATGTTTATAATGATGTTATCAGTGACTGTTGTACGAGTATTTATTTTTGCTTATGCATGGAAGTTTTTTCTTCCTATTGCTATTAAACGTAATTATATTTGCAGCAAGCTAAGTGCGCCCAGAGGATTTGAGTTTGATCCCTTTAATGTTCTGCCACCTTTGGGGTAAATTGCCGGAAATTGTTCCTTGTCTTCTGTAACTGGTGGGCTTTGCGAACTGCATGAAGGAAAAAGGTAGAGTAACTTTCAATTTCTATTCTAGGGACTGCCTTTGGTTTTTGGAAGAGTCTTTTAAACCACGTGGTTGGTGGTTTTTATCCAGTGAAATTCCAATTGCGACAAATTGCATATTTTTTTTTGGTTGTAAATTCTGCAATATTTATGTGACATGATTAAGTTTTTAACTTTAATTGATATTATATTTGATGGGACAGAATTACTGGATACAGAAGCTGTTATGTAATTAATTATAAATAAGAAAATATTTAAATATGATGGAAATAGGATAAATAGGATTTAAATTATATTAGTAGGATTTGGATATTAATTAATTATATTAGTAGGATTGGGATAGATTAGGATATCTAGATAATATCAGGATATTTACTTAGATTTATATCTTTTCGAGCTTTTGCTTATAAATATGTATTTGCCATTCTTTGTAACTCAGTTTTGCAATGTGATTAGAAATTATTCAGTTTCTGTTGGTTCTCTACTCTTCTCTAATTTTCCTCTGTTTCTATTACTCTTTTCCCTCTCTCTTTCCTCTTTTCCTCTCCTATTTCTTTACTTTCCATAACAGAAGCACATGTGATTTTTTTAAAACCAGAGAAATTTTACTACAAATGATAGAAAGTTTAGTAGAAAAGAATAAACCACTGATAATCACTTTTGACAGCAGAAACGCAGAAATAAACTAGTTAAGGTGAATAGGTGATTATGATGTCTTCTCAAAATGGATACGACGGCCTTCAGCATCAGCAGCAACAACTGCAGCCTAGTGGTAAATATGACTGGTTGTTAATTCATTTGTTTTATTTTACTTAATCTGATTGATATGATATTGTAATAAATAAATAACGGAATTATGTGAGTTAGTTAGAATAATAGTCAGTTACTAGCCGTTGGACTTTGCCTATATAAACGGGCTTATCTCTCATTTGTAAGTGTGCTGTATTGTGATCAGCCTAATGGATTGAACCTCTTTTCTCTGCTACTTTCTTTCTCTTCCATCTATTATCTTCTCTCTAGTTTCCCCTATTCTCTCTGTTTCTCTTCCCTTTCCCTTCTTTCTCTCTCTTTCTTTTTCCAATAATGTAATAGATGATCCTTGCATTTCAACGGATACCTCTTGGGTCTTGTTCTTCTTGCTCTTCCGTTGCAAAGTTAGCTCCTGTATTCTTGTGAGGCTTTTGGCTTCGTGCATGGTCTGAGGCTTGAACAGACATATTGGTTCAACATAGTCTTCTTGCAATGTTGATATGTAAGCATTGACTCACCATTCTTCAGGCAATGAGAGTTTGAAGGAGATAGTGTCAAATTCAGAATTAAATTCTGCCAAGGACTCTCGATGTCGAAGATGGAGCAAGTCCCTTTGTCACATGATTTCTTGCAGCCGCATGGACAAGCCAAGAAGGGCCTCTTTTGATTTATTGATGGAGCCCTGTATTCCATCAACTAAATTCAATTTTTGTTCAATGTTGAGGAGACTTTCCTCCATGGAACTTGAAATTGAATGGAAACAAGGGAGAAAGAACCAGGTAGTAGGGCAGGGGCGAGGAAAGACTGGTTCTGGCTCATCTCTGCTTTTTGCTGTATCGCATTTTAGCATTTCTCTTTCTTTCTTCTTCTGTCCTCTATCCTCTTCCGGCCCCTCTCTCTATATCACAAATCCTTCTCCTTTTTGGCTTATTCTTCATTTTCTTCTTTTACCCTCAAAGCCATTCTTCTTCTCTTTTCTTTCGGGTTATGCATTTTACAGAAAAGAGGTTCAATCCATGAGGTTGATCACAATACATCACACTTACAAATGAGAGATAAGCTTGTTTACGTAGGCCAAGTCCAACGGCTAGCAACTGACTATTATTCTAGCTAACATAGTTTTGTTATTTATTTATTACAATATCATATCACTGGTGCACAAGTTAGTCAGCAAGAACCCCCCCCCCCCCCCCAAAAAGGGGAGAAAAAACGAATGTTCTACTAAGTTGGCCAACAAAAAAATTCAAGAACATGTAATGGGGGATGAGCCAATCTGATTGGATTAGGCAATTTTAAGTGCATAGTAACTTCATTGGCTTACTCCTTGACTTCTAAAGGGTACTGAAATGATTATAATTTGTCTGGACAAAATTTTACAAATTTATATGATAATTTCATGATGCTTGTAAGTTGGTTCACAGGTGAAGAGCACCATTTTAGTGTAAACTCTGAAACCAGTACAGAGGTTGGATGGTACGTTCTTGGAGAAAATCAACAGCAGGTGGGTCCCTATGCAATCTCAGAGCTCTGCGGTGAGTTCTAGCACCACTTCTGTGGACTACTACTAATCTATGCCATGTGTCTACTCCCTGAAAATTGGTGCTTGACGTGTTATTAGTGTTTTAAAGTTCAGGAGAAGAAAGTTGAAGGGTCCTTTAGTCTCGCAACTGTTTTGTGGTTTCTTATTTCTTGCTTTTGTTGTCACTCCAAATTTATCGATGCCCTTGTTCTCCTTTCTTGAATTTCAGTTCTACCATAAGTGAATAGCTCGATTTCAGACTTTCTGGACAATTGTTGCATGTTGATATCTCTACTTAGCTTTTTTACTTCACCTGGACAGAGCATTTCTCCAATGGATATCTTTCAGAGATACACTGGTATGGTCTGAAGGAAGGACTGAATGGCAGCCATTGTCCTCAGTTCCAGAGTGTTGGACAAGAATTTGCTCACATGGATCTGATTATTCAACTACACGTATGCTTATTCTTTCTCTTTCTACCTCTGTATTTTCCCTTTATTACCTTCATTTAATCAATCATGGATTTTACTAAGTGACCTATTTTTAGTGTCTACTCATGATAATCATGAGTTTGAGAGATGGCAGAATGAGATAAAGGAGGCAGAAGCACAATTTGAAGGGTTTGAATTTGGATCTGCTTCTGGTGACGTTGGGGCTGAAGTAGGAGGTGATTCTGATAGACCTTCAACACCACCTGAGGGTGAAGAAGAATTTACTGATGATGATGGGACTAAATATAAGTGGAATAGGAATCTTAGGGCCTGGGTTCCCCAGGTTAGTGTATCATATTTTTCTCAGCATTTGTCATGTGATATATTTTTTTGATGACATGAGTTGTTCTCTTTTTGTTAATTTACCTTTTTGCATGAGTGATAGGCTTTACTGAATCTCTTCCTTCAAATTGATGTTATGTTAAATCAAGCCTTTAAACTTTTAATGTCTCTAGCAGCTCCCTAGCAGCTTCTGCTGCCTATAGGTTGGTTATTGATCGTTGGATTGCTTACCATTTTTATTGAGATATCACAATTCACATAAATGATACAATTTCGTATTTATGTACCTTTTTTTGCCATTGATATATCATTTTTTAATGAATGAATAGGGTAGGTCATTATGTTAGTAGCAACTTATTTCATGATAATAAGATAGACAACGTCAATATTTGAGATTTTAAACTGTAGCTGAAAACTAGAGTGTCACTTTATTATTTTGGCTCGCTATATTGATGTCAGTGAGATGTGGCTGAATGATGTCTACCTTGCATGAGAAACTCATCAGTGACAAAAATTATTGCAAGAATTTATAGTATGAAGTGTTTATGTAAGTCTTAGAAGTTGAGAACAAGTAACTTTTCACCCTAAAATAATCTAGGCAGTTCATTCAGAAAATTCACTTGCCTGGGGGGGGGGGGTAAATATAGGGGTAAATATACAGTCACCTTTATTTTTTGAAATTTTGTGCTAGCATTGAATAATTTCTGGAGCTTCCATTGTGGCATGCTGGTATGTTTAATTAATTCTTGATCTGGAAATTGCAATTGTTGTTCATTATTCTGGGTGATGTCAGGTTTGAAATTCTCATTTCTTTTGTTGGGTGCTAGATACCAAGGGTATATCCTTGGAACTCGTTGCATTTTATAATAAAGTATTTCTAGGCAACAGTTTCCTTTTGCAATCATGTTTTTGTTATCTGAATTTTTGTATGTATTCTAAGATATGAACAAAGTTGAAGAGAGGCTGCTACCACAAGCTGAGGGCAAGTAAAATGGCACTAAACAGTAGATTGTAGTGGTTTTTTTTTCCCCCCTGGGGACCTGACTAGTAGTTGTTATTCTGGTGATATTCAAACTTGTTTTGTTTCAATCATGTGGTATTTTGTATATTGTTGTATCAAGAATGTCATCCTTCTGAGCTGAGACCTATATGTTTCGTGATTAATGCTTTATGCACATTTATATGCATGGAAAGTAACAGCCTTTAGTCATATCACCCGTGCCCTTGCTTTTGTGCCTTTAATTACTAATTACTTTAACATTCAATAGGAGAACACGTCTGGCAACAATGAGCCTTATGGAGTTGAAGAGATGACTTTCTTGAAGGAAGAGGAAGTTTTCCCCGCATTAACAGGTCTGGATGCTTCTGTAGAAGATGATGGTTCAAAATTAAGTAGTTCTGTGGCTTCCATGAAGGACGAAGTAAATATTACGAATACAGAAGCAGAAGGAAAGAAAGATGGGAAGAGGAAGCTTTCAGGTGAACAAGATGACAAGAAGGTATGCCCCTCTGTTTCTTCTCGTGTATTTGAAAGGCACCCTCCTTATTTTTAGTCGTATCATGTTGGAAACTGAATGATGTCTCCTATGACCTGCATTCTGTTTCAGGAAGCTAATAAACCTCCTAATAGTTGGTTTGAGTTAAAGGTCAATACGCACGTTTATGTCACTGGATTGCCTGAGGATGTTACCACTGATGAAGTAAGTTTTAATCACTGCCCTAAACTGTCTTGACTGTTTCTTGTTGCAAGAAAGTTACATGGGAAATATATTGTAGGTGGTGGAGATGTTTTCCAAGTGTGGCATCATAAAGGAGGTATTATGTTATTCCTGTGCTATATTGATCTCAAGTATTATTGATAGGCATGATTATTATTTGCCTAGATGTATATTGCATTCTTGGGTTTATTTGTATGGCAAACTCTGGTTACACATTAATATCCAATTAATGGCAAACTGGTTCTGCTGTGCTTTGCAAAGCACAGATTAAAATTTCTTTGATGGAAGGTTAAGGAATGTTGCGTATCATGCTTGTCATTGCTTATTTTGGTTGTTAGCATCATTTTGATTGTGTCCTTTTATTTTTGGCATGTGCTAACCTATACTTATAGCCAAAAGTAAGCACACTTGGCCAAGCAACTCCTACTAGTTGTCACCACTTACTAATAGTTCTAAGAGAGATCATGTTGTCATCAAATTTGTTATAGATTGAAAATGAGTATCTACTCATAGAGATGACATATTGTCTTGGAGAGTGCCGGTTGATTTGTGCTTTATTTGAATGTGTGTATTATATTTTTTATAGGACCCTGAAACCAAAAGGCCTCGAGTCAAGCTCTATGTTGATAAAGAGACACGGAGAAAAAAGGGAGACGCATTGGTCACATATCTAAAGGTAACTTTCATCTTATTTTGATATGCTTGTAATTTGTGCATAGGTTTTACATTGTGTTGATGCGTGCTAGGAACCGTCAGTGGCTTTGGCAATTCAAATATTGGATGGAACTCCTCTTCGCCCTGGTGGCAAGATTCCCATGTCCGTCACCCATGCTAAATTTGAGCAGAAAGGTAGTCATCATTTATTGTTGAATATTTGATGTGATAATCTCTTATCTCAGGGCACTCATGGACCATGCATGCAGACCACATCTTATGAATATTGTAGTTATTTATTGGGCTTCGTGTGCTTGATCGCTCTTTCTTCAAATATGCAGGAGACACATTCATAGCCAAACAAGTAGATAATAAAAAGAAGAAGAAATTGAAAAGAGTTGAAGAGAAGATGCTTGGCTGGGGTATGTGCAGCTTCATCTATCACAAATTGTTAATGAAGAAAATTGATTGAATTGCTCTTTGAACAAATCAGAGAATGCATTGTATGATATTATTCGAAGAGGAGGACAAAATACATAGGGGTAGTTGAACAACATTCCTGCTATTCATTCAACGTGATTCAGCTGAGAAATGATAGAGAAAATACTGCAGATAGATATCCCAAGAAATCAGGGATAATACAATCAGAAATATTTACTGAAATAAACGATCATAAAAGTGGAAATATTTGCAGAATATTATTACTAATATTCTGCTCATACTACTCAGTTTTGTCTTTATTGGAGTAAATTGTTTCTTCCCTAATTTTTGACACGAAATCAGGCTGATATCTATGGCTTTCCAACCCTCTAATCTTTATTCTTCTGTAATCCCACTTGATTTATACAGAGGAGTCTGCAAAATAAGGAGAGAAAATTCTGCCCATCTCTATCTAGATCCCAAGGGACCTAAAATAATATATAAATATATACAACTTATTCAGACTAAATAAATAATAGACAAGAGAGAAAATTTATTTCTTCAGAGTATTCACACCCTCCAGCTCTCCCCTTTATGCTGAGGAGTGGAGATAAATCATTTCCAGCTTGCTGTCCAATTCCTCAAGCCTCCATGTTGCTAATGCTTTGGTTAGCACATCTACCGTTTTTGCTCTTGTAAAGGTATAGGACACCTCAATGATACCAGCATCAATTTTCTCTTTGATCAAGTGGCGGTCTAAATGCACATGTTTTGTCCTATCATGATGGACAGGATTTTTCACTATTTCAATAGTTGACATATTGTGAAAAAACTTAATTGGGTTTTAAACTTCAATCCTCAGCTTTTTGAAAAGTCTAAGAAGCTAGATTCCCTCACTTGCCAAGTGCTAGCGTTTGAAGCTCAGCTCCAGCACTGCTGCATGAAGCCACAATCTGCTTTTTGCTTACAATACTCGGTAGTTGGCCTTCTATCTTCAATGGACCTAACCTAATCTGCATTGATATACACTTCCACTCCTTTATAGGTCCCTTTCTTAAACAGGAGACCTTTGCTGGATTGAGCTTTAGATACTGGGGAATTATGTATGCTCTGGAGGTGCTCTTCATTTGGTCTTTGCATAAACGGACCGTAATCATTGGGAAAGATATATCTCCTACCAATCTTTGGTATCTTTCTTTGTCAACAAGGTGACAACTCTACTTCAAGCCAAACTCAGATTAGCTTCCATATGACTGTTTATAGGCCTATACTCTAACATCATTGTTTCTTTCAATAGATTGAGACTATACTTTCTTCTTCACACAACAATACCCTTCCTTGAACATGCCACTTCTATTCTCAAGGAGCATCTTAGGTTACCAAGATCTTTTTTACCTCAAATTCTCTAGCCAAAACTTGTTTTAATCTCTTAATCTTGCACAAGTTTATACCCTTTAGGGGCTTGATCTTTGGGAAATTTGTATTTTCTATTTTCTCTATATGGTAAAGTATATCCGAATATATGCATCTCAAAAACAAGAGAGTAAGGCTTAATAAAACCATACAATAAGAAAATATTTACAATAAAAGGATATTCCCATGCTACCTCGAGTTGGACTAGAGACATTGATCATGTCTAATTTGCTTACGTATCCATCAAAATTCTATCTTGGAAGGCCCCTGTGTTTCATTGATTTCCATATATTTGGCACACTACTCCGCTTTCAATCTTTTCCTTGGTGAAATGTTTGTCCACTTCATGTTTTGCACCATCATGCCGAACTAGATTGAGACATGCTTATGGCTGGCTTGCGGACAACAATAGAGCTTAATAGGCAACTCCACACCAATTTGCAGTGTTTTGAGAAGTATTTGCAGCCATAACCCCTTGTAGATCCCATGTGCTATGGCTCTAAACATAGTTTTTGTCGTATTCCTAGACTCCACATTTGTTTCTTGCATCTCCAAGTTACTAGGTTACCCATATGATGGTACCAGACCTAGAAGTAGATCTATCCTCTGAAGCATCGTCCCAATCCAAATTAGCGTCAATATGTATCTTTACATTGGGTTGTTCACATCTTTTGAAGTATAAGCCCTCTCCTAGGGTACTCTTTAATTATCTCAAAATTCTGTAGATAGCTTGTAGGGGACTTTCCTTTGGTGAGTGCATATGCTGACTTACAAAGCTCACATTCCACTGCTTGGAATATGAGATTTAGCATTGTGGTTTCTAATTTTCTATGGCCTCTAGATTGCCGAATCAGGCTGAGATTGGTTGTCTCAATCCTCTAATTTTTTACTGGGATAAGGTCCATTTATGCCCCAAAAGTTTTTGTTAAGGAGCTATGAGTATCTGAAAGTTTCTTTTGTAGCAATGTTTCCTTGGAAGTTAGCAGAATGTACCAATGTGTCCCTATTTTAATGCCTAGAAATGTTGACCATTAAGATTAAAAACTATGATTGAACTTTGCATTGCTAGCAGGTGGTTCGGCATGGGTGAAAACATTAGCTGGCAGTCAAGTTGCTCTGAAGATTTAAAAAAAAAAAAAAAAAAAAAAAACACTTCCCTTGTCTCCCTTGATCCCTCACGCCACCCCCAACCATGGAGATGGAGAAGCCTACCCTCACCATTGTTCTTATTGCCCTTCTCTCATCAGTGTAGCGGCTGAATCTGACACTCCTTCTTCGGCTCTCGAACCTTCCAATAGAGCTAGCACCCTCAGCTCCTTCATTGGTGCCTCTGTCCTCTCCTTCCACAACCGTCGATCAAATGTTAGGTATGATTTGCAGTGAGAAGCTTCTCTTGTTAAGGAAGCAAGAGTTCCTATTGGGTTATTTGTTATTAGATCTTAGCTGTCGAGAAAACATTGTTTGTTAGAAGTTAAAGAATCAGCTTTTTGGAAGGTAAATTGATCTAGATGCAAAGTCTTGTTGGCCCCCACGATGCATAGGATATTGGTGTCTTGAATGCGTTTTTATCATTTTTTACTGTGGGTCTTGAGACTGATTTTTTTTTTTCCCTTTCTAGCTTGCTTCTTCATATTTTGGCTTTTATCAGTTTTCTCTCCCTGTTTTTCAAATGGATGCTTCACTCACTTTGTTTTCTTCGTGTTTTCTTATTGGGTCCTGTGTAAATTTATCGTTTGATGTAGCTTTGCATCCCCAGTTGAAGAGGAGAATCAGTTTCAAAGAAGTTTCTGGTTTTTCCTGGTTTCATGTTCTGCATTAAGTTGTTCTGTTGTTCTATTGGCATCCAAGTGGGACATTGATTTCAATCTCAATGTGGGGATTCTTTTTCCTATTCCTTTTTAATTTTCTATAGTGGTTTTTTCTAGATTCCCTATGCTTCGATATAAAAAGATATTTTGATTCCTCTAAAAAACTGTCAGTGGCTTTGTCTTTGATAATATTATCGTATTAAAAATCTCAATCTCTTCTTTGTCTCTCCCCTGTTCCTCATCAAATTAGCTAAAATCCTCCCCTACTCTCCAGATCTCTTTTCTTCACCGACAATGGCTTCACCGTCAATGGTAGAGAGATTGTCAAACCTTCTATCTTGTTTTTGCTCATTTGATTTGACTTGAGATTTTGGGGTTATAGTTTACATAGCTAGTCATCGATAATGGTGGTGCAGTGAGATTTGAAAGTGCAAGGGGTAAAGGAGTGAGGGAAGATGATGATGCTAAGGTGGAGTATTATGTGGCATTATATCCAATGTGTCAGAACAACCTAGGCATAATGGGTCAACTTACATTCAAAATTAACTTTGATAAAGAGAATGACGACATTACTATTTCCTGATAACTTCCTGGACGACATTGTTCCAAAAAAACCTTCTGGATACTCATAGCTTCTCAATGAAAACTTTTAGGGCAAAAACAGATCTTATCCCATTTTTATTCTGCTGTAATTCACTTGATTTATACAAGCATAGGAGTCCAAGCAAAAAAGATTCTGCCTATCTGTATCTAGATACTGGCAGACCTAAAATGATATCCAGATATATACGACTTATTTAAAGAATAGAAAATAAATAATAGACAAAAGAAAAATCTGATGTCCCACCATGATTTGTTTACCTTCCCACCCTTAATCCCACCATGATTTACCAATGTAGAAATTTTTTGTAGAAACCTTCTGTAATTTATCCTTGATCTAGTTCTTCTGTCACACAAGAGTCTTAAGGGACTTCAATACTGATACTTGTGCCAAAAGTAGGGTCGAGTTCTTGGTCAAAACAATAAACTTTGATTCACTCGTCTAGTTCATAAACTATCCTAGTTTAAACTATTTTATTGTGATTGTTATGATTATTAAAACTTCTGTTTAGTCATGAAGCTTTTACCTTGTTTACTTAGGAGCTGTTTCATAATATAATTAGGAAGTCTTTTCTTAGCTCGGAGGCGTATTAGGATTTCGTGGTGCTGTAGGCCACTAATACATTTAGGTTCCTTCCTATATATAGCTCTTCGTTGAAGAAGGCAAAATTGAGTAATTATTTGGTTCAGTTTCTTTGTATGAATCTTTGTGTAATTGCTCACCTTTGACTTTTTACATCAGTAAGTCGTCCAAAGAATCTATTTAACGTTTTATATTTGGTTTTTGAGGTTTGAACATGTAATTTTATTATTGAATTTCGTATTTATAATGCAACTCTGATAATGACATGATTCTTGTAACATGACTCAGGTGGTCGTGATGATGTAAAAGTTTCGATTCCGGCTACGGTCATCCTTCGTTATATGTTCACACCTGGGGAATTAAGGGTTAGAATTCTTTATGCACCCTTTGGTCCTTTTTATAAGATCCCTTTAACTAAATTAGGTGGTTTAAAAAAACAATTAAAATTGATTAAAACCAATAAATATGTAAAAATTGAACATTCAGCAAATAAGGGAGAGAAATGCTAGTGATGGGAGTGTAAAAGAGAATGTAGTATAAGAAAAAGATGAGGAGAGAGCATAGAAAATTAATTGGGGACAAAATTGGTAAAAGTGCATTTAATGTTTAGACGTTCCTAAGCATGATCCTATAAAACCGACCAAACCAATTCAAATTTTGGGATTTTATAAAAAGGACAGACGGGAGTACCATGTAATAATCATAATAAAAAAGGGGCCAAGGTATATGTTTGGTCTTGTAAGTTTTCATCAAGTTTTGAAGCTCATGAAGAGTATTTTTGGTCCTATCTCAACATCATTAATCTCATTAATGGAAACGCTGACTTGGTGAATTTAAATAATGACCCCTGCCACTAATTTAAAGGATTAAAATAGAAATAAAATATATTTTTATATTTTAACTTCAAAATATGAAATTTATTAAATGATTAAAATTTAAGCATGATTTGTCATTAGGCATTTTTCGTTAATGAGACTAACAATGTTAGAATTAAGGAACTGAAAATACACTTTGTAAACGTAATGACTAAACTAAAACTTGATGCAAATTTAGAGGATGATAGAGCCTAGACAGAAATAGTAAAGAAACAACATTGAAACTCTGTTAAATCACAATAGTAAGGAAACACACTAATCAGAATGATAAAATGATGAAGAAAGACTATCTTTCTCCACCCCACACTGGCATTCGAGAGGCCAGAGCTCTCTTCAGTGCATAATAGAAAATACTCTTCCGGTCCTAAATATGAGACACATTTTATAATTATACTATAAAATGGGTTTTATATTTAGACCTGGAGGAGTATGTCCTTTCTTGTGGAGAAACCAATGACTCTCACAGGTCCAAAAAGTAATTCTATAATTGCTAGTATAGCTCGTTCCAATGCTTATCAGCGTTACATCGCCATTGTTAGGGGTCATATAAATCCAATTGCTGCTAGAGTGTCGCAAGAGTGGTATAATATTGAGTGACAGAATTACTTCCCTGAGTTGTCTCACGGAGAATCTTTTGAATGTGGAAAAGTGCAGTGGTGTTCTCAATAGTAGCATAAGTAATCTGAGCATTCTCCTAAATTTCCTTAGCACGGGTTGCCAGAACGAACTGCTCACTAATCTCGGATGTCATGGAGTTCATAAGCCAGCCCATGACTTAATTGTTCTTGGCAACCTAGGTCTGGAATTTCTGATCTGTCAAGTAGTGTTCTCGTCCCTTTCCTTTGAGGAACATCAGCATGGCGTGAGACCACTGTAGGTAGTTGTGTCCATTCAGCCGACGGTTGGCTATTGGGGACGGATTCTCTATGGTTTGCAGAACAGAAATATTTGAGAGGTTCGGCATTTTCGGCAGTCCATCATTAGAACCTGAGTCAGTATTTTGTTTTGACTCAACCTGGAATGCTCCCATCGAACCAAAGGAAATCATCTCTGTTTGCTTTGTTCGTGCTCTGATGCCATGAACAAAGAGAGACTGAAAAATTCTGTGTATTCTTGATGGGTAATGCCCATTACATAAATAGTATATTTGGGCTGCAAAAAGCTATAATATCCCATTATTCTAGCCTATGATTAAGGAGATTTTATCATAATTACAAGATATAATAAATCTGCTATAAAGGGCAGGGAATAATATTAATGGCAGAATAATGGCAGAATAAAATCCCTGAAAGCTAGGAGATTATTACGCTAACAGGTATTTCTGGTATTGTCTCAGGTCTGATTGGTGTTTCGGGTCTGTTTGGTATTTCCAGTGTTGTTTCAAGTCTGGTTGTTGATGTTTCAGGTTATTTGGTGTTTCTAGTATTGTTTCAGGTTTGTTAGGCATTTCTGTGTCCTGAACTAGCCATTCTGCAGCTCCATAGTTCGCCCCCTGAATGAGTAATTTAGGGTAATAAGCATCATCTTCATAAAACAACATTTTTTGTGATGTGGACTGTTTTGGTAGTGGGGGAGTAGCATTTATATCCTTTTTGGATTGGGGAGTAGCCTAGGAAAATACATTTTCCAGCTGTAGAGTTGAGTTAGCCTTCATTTTTGTACAGAAACACGACACACCCAAAAATTTTAAGAGGTAACTGATTGATTAGAGGAGAGTTTGGGTGGTGTTCAAGTAATTTTTGTATTGATGATTTAAAGTCTAGGACTTTGGAGGGTACTCTATTTTATGAGATAAGCTGATGTTAATACTGTATCTCCCCAAAACAGATTGGGGGCATTCTTTTCTATCATAATGGCAGGAGTTACTTCTAAGATATGCCTATTTTTCCTTTCAGCTACTCCGTTTTGTTGGGGGGTATAAATACATGAAGTTTGGTGATGTATTTCTTGTTGTTCGAGAAAATCTTTGAAGGTGTTACTTAATATTCTTTTGCGTTATCACTTCTAAGAACTTTGATAGTGGTCTGAAATTGAGTTTTTACAAACATAAAGAATTGTTTGAATCTTTCAAAAACTTTAGTTTTTTCCTTTAAAAAGAAAATCCAAGTCATTCATGTGTGATCGTCAGTAAAAGTAACAAACCAGTAAGTCTGTATGGTTGTTTTGAGTAGGTGGTTCTAGTTTGCTTGGCAAATTGACAAGTATCACAAGTAAGTGAAATAGAGTTTTTTTCATTAAAGAGATGTGGAAACAAGTGCTTCATATAATCAAAGCTGGGGTGGCCTAACCTGTGGTGCCATAATAAGATGTCTCTACTTTGTGTGTTGTGGCTAACCATAGCTTGGTGTGTTCCCTTATTGTTCATATGGAAGTATTAAAATCCGTCCCACTTTTTAGCTTTCCTCCTCGAGGCTAGATTCTAAAAAATGCAGCCACTGTCATCAAATAGGACATGACAAATTTGACCTTTGGTCAGCTTGCTTACAGAGATGAGATTACAGGTGAGTTTTGGCACGTATAACACGTTATGTATGGTCAAGTAGTCAGTTAATTTAATAGTTCCTAAGCCACACACTCTAGCACTAAGTCCATTTGCCACTTTTACTTTCAAGTTTTCATGAGAGTGTTTAATATTGATAAAAAGAGATTTGCTATCAGTCATGTGATCTGAGGCTCCAAAATCAACAATCCATACATCATCACTAGTCACCATAGCATTTAGGGCAATTGTAGAGTTACTTGATTTCACTAGGTTGACATTAGGAGTGTTGGTCTGTTTTTCCAGAATTCGGCTCAATAATTGAACTTCTTCTGGGCTCAATTTCTCTTCCTCTTCCTCCTTTTTCTCTGTATGGTAGCTTTTTCTCTCATTTCTCTGTCTATTTTTCAGATTGGAAGGCTTCCCATGCAGCTTCTAGCAAATCTCCTTGGTGTGACCTCTTTTATTGTAGTGGTCACATCACTTGTCATCTTTTCGTTTCTAGTCTGTTGTGTTTCCACTTTTAACTACCGTTGTAGAAGCTTCATTTTGGGTCACTGGAGTTTGGGTGAGTTGTTTTCTGCTTTCCACACATTTCACCATATTAAAGGTTTTGAAGAATGAGGGTATGGGTTTGAGACCCATGATTTTGCCCCTAACTTCTTCAAATATGTCATTGAGTCCTAACAAGAACTCGTAGTTTCTCTCTGTTTCAACTAGCTTTCTGTAATATTGAGTATCATCTAAACATTTCCATGAGTGAACCTTAAACAAGTCTAATTGTTGCCAAATTCTCATAAGAGAGCTAAAGTATTGAGTTACAGTCATAGTACCTTGCCCGAGTTCTCTAAGTTGTTTCTTTAGTTGAAACAGTGCTGCAGTGTTGTCCATAGAAGAGTGTGTTTGTTTCGTTGCATTTGATATTTCCTGGGCTGTCTGTGCTAGTAGGTAACCTTCACTGATTTCCAGTGTCGTGGAATTGCATTGCGAGGTCATCACTTGATTATTCTTGGCGAACTAGGTATCAAATTTTGGATTGTCCGACGTTGGTTGTGGTGCTTGACCGTTGGTGTATTTTTCTCTGCACCTTTTGCGGAGGTACATTAAAACACTCTTTCACCACTGGAGGCAATTGCTTCCATTCAGTTTGTGCACTATCACGGTTTGTTGATTTTCGTTTGCACCGGTAAGTTGTGGGACCACGGTCGCTCCTTGGAGGGCTGTATTTGTCTCAGAGGATGATGAGTTGGTGGGGATGATCCAGCCATTAGGGTGATCGAGTTTGGCCCTTTGTGGGCATGGTTTGGTCGACGTCCTGTGAGGAGTGGTGGGAACTCGTCATTGTTCATTTTCTTTTTCCGACTGCTCTGATACCATATTGGAAAAACATTTTGTATTTCTATATATTATTTTGCTGGATAATGGAGTACATAAATAGGGATCGGATTTCTTATAAATAGCTTGAAATCCGATCACATTAAATGGTAATAATAATGGGTAATCAATCTATGGTTAACATCCATGATTCTAGGTCTAAAATAAGGAAACAACACAGAATTAGGGATAAGATTCCAACAGCTAGGAAATCTGTGGAAATCAGTCTTCGATTCTAACAAATAGAAAGAAAAAATGGTGAAGAAAGATTATCTTCCTCCACCACCCTGGCATTTGAGAGGACATAGCTCTCCTCACTGCACTCGTAATACAAAATATGTCCTTTGCCCTAGAGAAGCCAAAGACTCTTATAAGTCTAAAACTTAATTCTCAGTAACACCAATATAACCCCTTGCTAGGTCAGGCCTATAGCAGCCTCAAAGTACTCTAATGCTCAGTATCTTTCTCCAAAAGAGAAGGAAGCTTGAGGCCAACGACCTGGACAGCAGAAAGGGATTTTATTCTTTCATGTATCTTGCTAATTTTCTTTTTATATAGGTCTGGCCAATACAATTAATTGTATCAGAGGACCAAACATACACTAACATGAAAAAAAAAATCCCTTGTACCATTGCCATGCTGAAAGAAACTTGCTATATCACTGACCATACCCATCCGTATTATGGAATAGGGCTCCTTGACACCAATCTTCCTGATGAAGTGAAGTGTGAAATTTTAACATTCTCAAATTTCTTACAAGTAGAGTTTGGTGAACGATTTAGTTGAAATGTAAATGTTCAAATTCCATGTAAGTAGAATCATATTTTGATTGTAAAGGAATTTGATTAGTTTGGGGGATTATTCACCAATGGGATGACTGATATATGTTAATACCTGTAGGGTTTACCCACTGAGTACACAAAAACGCAGAATATTCCTCAATGTTTTGCTGCTTAGTACTATTTATAGTTGTTATTTAAAATTACATACTTATAATGCTGTAAAAATATATCACTGATAATAATAATGGTTCAAACAGTATTTTTTCTATTATAATTTCCTTATAACTATAAGAAATAGGGTTTTTATTTTCCTTTTCCTGCAGTCACTTTTGATGCTTCCATCTTGGCATGGTGTTTGATTCTCATGCTAACATCTGATATTTCCTAATATTCAGGCTGATGAAAATTTACGTTCAGAACTAGAAGAAGATGTTAAAGGGGAATGTGTGAAGCTTGGCCCTGTGGACTTGGTCAAGGTAATTTATTTAGGAGGAAACCTAGGTACATATATATTTAAGGTACTTTTGTTCCCATCAAGTTTGAACAAGTAGGATTTAAATTTACAAGTTAGTAATACCGTAAACAATGTATATAAAAGTTGTCTTATTCTGCTTTGACGGGAAAACTATAACTTAAGTAACTGTGTCTATTTCTATTTGTTTACGAGTAAAATTATTGACTGAAGAAACAGACTCATGTTAAATCTTTCCTTTCTAATTATATATCATCAGCTGTTCAATTGAATTAATGATTAACAGATACAAAGTTTCTCCAATGTGAAAAGTAGCGAGATGACAGTGCTGCAATTGAAACTAACGATGATTTGGTGAGGAAAATTGAAGGCAGGGAGGGAGAGACGGGCTCATTAAAATCTCATACTTGTTTAGTAACTGTAAGGATGAGAAAATCAAAGGATCTTCTAGAAACCTTACCCACAATACTCCTAAATCCCCTATCCGCATTAAGCGCATCAATGTTTTTATACAGTTAGAAAATATGATCATTTTTTGTGAAAAAAGCAGCGTATGGACTCTAAATATTTTTCTGGGTAGTTTTTCCTATATTATTTGGCTGATGTGACTTCGATGAGTTATCGGCATTGGTAAACCCCTCCGTAGTAGAGTATTTGGAATCCAAAAGGAGATGGGACCCAGTTGTTCTATACAGCATTTTCCAACGAAAATTTTCGTGTAGAACAGATTTATATGTTCAAGTCAAAGGAAGAATGCTATACCCATAGTCAGTGGTTGTAGAAGATCAATCCGTCCAATTGAATAAACTTGGGCCAATCATGCGTTAAGCAGAACACAAAAGGAACCAGACGTTATGATGATTTATGATGATTTTGGTAATACGTTTTATTTTGAGCTTTTCTTGTATTTTCTTTTTTGAGGATTACTTATCCTCCAGCTGGTTGTTAATTCTTTTTTCTTATAAAATCTTATAAAATTCAATGGCGATTTTGCCTGCATCGTTGTCCTGCTGTTTCTTTTTGAATGAATTGCATAGATTTTCATTCTTGTTTAAAAATTAATGCATTCCTTTTGCATTCAATGAAACAAATGCTAATTATTGTCCCTAAACTTGCTCAAACCTTTAATTTAAACTTTGACCTATATCTGAATTCCTTAGAAAATAACATTGAACGTCTATGCAGTTTCGTCAAACTTGAGTCCCTGTAAATTTATATTTTTTCCCTCCTGTACCTACCATTTCGTCATAAATTAATTCTTGAAATTTATTGTGGAATTGAAGAAATACCTTTCTTTGTTTGAGTTGCGTTTTTGTTGCTCAAGTTGCCTTTTTGTTGCCTGCAGATTTGTGAAAATCATCCTCAGGGTGTTGTTTTAGTCAAATTCAAGGATAGGAAGGATGCTCAAAAGTGCATAGAATTGATGAATGGAAGATGGTAATTTGATCCTTCATTTGTTTTTCCATGAAATTTTAGTAATATCGTTGGGTGGCATAGTCTACCTGGTCATGATGGCTACCCTTGGTTGATCATCCGCAGTTCTATTAGACAGTTATCTGTTAGGGTAGGCAACGTTAAAATAGAGAGAAATAAATTGAAATGTACACCAAAGATGGGGTAGATTTGCCTGCCTGAAGCCCAGATTTCTTAATTTCATTATTATGATGATGTCATGGGGATGATATCAAGTTTAATCATTTGTTGACCATCAATTTTAGAATTGCTTCATTTTTGCAAATGCCCATGATCTCTTCCTCGTACAGTTTTCGCTTGCGTCTTTCTCTTTCAATGTTCTTATTTTTTGGTGAACTAGTTTCTTATTCATTGCGGTGGTTTTTTTCCTCATTTCTTATGTCAGGTTTGGCGGAAGACAGATACATGCCAGTGAAGATGATGGTTCAGTTGATCATACCGCCATTCGGGATTATGAAGGTGATGCCTTGCGACTGGAGCAGTTTGGCGCAGAACTCGAAGCCGAATGATTTTAACACCCTTGACCTGAGTGAGACAACACGATATCTTCACTCTGAAATTTATCTATTGGATTAGGCATAGTTGGAGCTTCCATTTTCTTGTACGAATTCCATTTGTTCGCGCATAGATTAATACTTAACAAGTTCCATAATGCCAACTATGCATGATTATATCAAAAAGGCCTATAGGTTGGCAATGTACAATGTTTAACTGCAAAAATAATAACGAGACATGTATCGATCAAAGTCTCAAGCCTCCAATGCGTTTTTCCTTTGGATTCCCAGACGCTTCACCTGAGAATGTTAAATAAACCTCGGGGTGCAACGTGTCTTGGTAACCAAAGCAAGTTGCAATTCATGAGTTGGTTGTGTGGTCTGATACTTCTAATGCACTTTCATGCTTTGGAAAATACAACAGATGAAATCGTACATGATTAGCTCAATGCCATCTTACATCTTTGAACCTTTTGTTTGTTTTTTTTGTTCTTAACCAGCAATCTTTGAACCTTTTGTTAAATCCATAGGATTAAAAGCTCCATGTGACTGACTGGTAACATTTACACTCCTGAGACGTAGCCTGGTCAAAGGATATGGAGTTCAAAATTGGACAAGGAGTTCCGTCTCCTACCTCATGAGAGGGTTCATTGTGCATGGACTGATCCCAATCCTAGTTCAAAGGAAGGGATCATATTAGTGCAATGCTAATGAGGACCAACGATGGTATCCTTGATGGTGGCATGCAACATGGCATATTGAATATATTATGGTTGCGTTTGGTAGGAAGCATTGAAAATTAGGGATATGGATTAAGATTAGAATTGAGAAAATCTATTAAAAGAGTATTTAGTTTAAGAGATTACTTGTCATATGGAATTAGCCAAACCTATGTATGTGGGACTGGGAAATACTATTGAGGGAAGTGTTATTTCTCAATCCTACCTCTATAGGTTTGCCTAATCTCATGTAATAAGTAATTATTCATGCTAAATACTATTTTAGTGATTTTTTTTAGTTATAATCCTAATCTCTATTCCTTATTTTCAATGTACCTATGTGTCTGCTTGCCATGTGCTACCCCCAATCACATAACATGCATGTTCATGCTTTCACATAGGTCAAAATCGTACTTCTCATAATATATCCTTAAACACTGCATATAATGAAACATTATTTTCATTGCTTTGCACTTGCAAACGTAAACAAGCGAATATAATAAGAGAATAGAGTTTTGGTTACGTATAGTTTCTTTTATAATCAGGTTGTATATAAGCAGTAATGAATAATACACAACTCTAACCTCTCTCTTTCAGCCACACTTGCTCCCCTTGAGCATCTTTGAATGCATCATATTGTGTTGCATATTCAAGAGTGGGCGAGGGAATAAAATAAGGGAAAATCCCAAAAAAGGTTCTTGGAATAAGAGAAATGCCAGATTGGGTCCTTAAATTTTAAAAATGACAGAATGGGTCATTGACCCAATCTGTCATTTGTGAAATTCAGGCGAATTGACAATTTTGCCCTCATTTATTCATTCACTACAATGATTCAAGGAATTACTATAAGAGTTTAGGTGTTACCTAGATTTGTGTAGCGAATAACTACTCACTTTTTCATAGTCAGGTGTCTTGTTATTAACTACAACTAATTCTGTAATCACTAGAACAATGTAAGCATTACCTAGATTTGTGTAGAGAATAATTACTCATTTTTTCATAGTCAGGTATCTTATTATTAACTACAACGAATCTTGTAATCACTAGAACAGTGTAAGCGTTACCTAGATTTGTTTAGAGAATAACTACTTACTTTTGTTCAAGGGTAAAAATGTCAATTCGCCTGAATTTCACAAATGACAGATTGGGTCAATGACCCATTCTGTCATTTTCGAAATTTAAGGACCCAATCTGGGATTTGGTATATTTCAAGGGTTTTTTTTGAGATTTTCCCATAAAATAATCAAGTCTTAATTTCCATAATTTTAATCAGATTAACTCATAATTAAACCAAAATTATTCAGATTATACTTTTTGCAATAGTAATAGTTTGATTAATTATTATTCTCAAGGTTAGTAATTGAAATAAGAGAATTAATATATTGCAGTCAATATGCTATTTAGTCTATTAAAATTAATAAACCTATGAGAGATAAAACATGTTAGAAAGTATTTTGAGCATAATTTTTCTTTTCTTGCGTGATTTCACTTGCTTTAGTTTATTTTTCAGGACGTGTCTTAATTTTTTTTAACAATTGCTTGATTCATATTCAATTCTTTAAAATAGTTGAGGTGTTATATTCTATTTATTCCAAACACAAACCAAATCTATATTCTACCCATAGTTACCCCATTTGAACCTATCATGATTTTTCCTAAAATTTCAGCTTGTATGCATGTATAATTCATTCTCAGAGCATCTTTAGTACAATTAATTAAAGTGCATTATTATTTTATTGTTGCTGTTGTTGATACGTATTAGGGGATGTAAAAGAAAAAAAGAAAAAAATAGAAAGAACGAAAAATAGAAGAAAGAGCAACAAAAGAAACGAGCTTTGGAAAAAAAAAAAAGAGGAAAATATTGAAAATCAGAGAAAAGGGTAATCAAATTATAAAAGAAAACTACCTAATTATTAAATAAAAACTACCTAAAGCTACTTTTTACTATAAACACGTGTTGATCCTCAAGTAGATCTTTTCTTGATGGCCAAGCAAAATCTTTTTCATCCCTAAAATCAAAATACTTAAACTCGTGAAAAAAAATTTAACAAATAATAAAACAAATAAAGACAAATAGAAGAGTGGCTCTATGGGTTTTCTCATCTTTATTATCAATTATCAATGTTAGCATTTAAGCAATAGAACTGAATTTTTATATATTTTATCACATTAATTTAGAGGTTTAAATGATAAATTTGTACTTCAATAGACTTTTTATTCATCATTAAATTAATTGATTGATTTTGAAAACCTTAATAAAAACTGAGATTTTTGAGTACATATTTTGCAGTTTCCAATTTTTGCCTTGAAATAAATATTTTCTTCTCATACTTTTGAAAAGTTGGATTTTTAGAAAGGTTTACAATTTTTTACCTTGTTTTCGGTGCATATCTAATATTTAATTTTGATATGGATTATATTATATTTGAATATAATTATTAATGGATGCACTTCAATTCTTATAGATCGAGAAAGGGCAACATAGGAAATCCAATGGTGCAGAATAATTGACTAATTTTAAGAGGTATTTAATTCATTTGTTTATTTATCACCCACGCTCCATTATTCTATCAATTTTGACCATCTATGGGAGCTTAAGCTTGCTTGGAAGGCTAGGAGCAGCATAGAGGAAAGTAGAGTCTTGGGCTAACACTTAAAAACTGTAAGAGAGTAATTCCATTGATCTTTTCAATTCAAGAACTTGAGATTATTTAATTTTAAGCAATTTTGAGTTGTATTTCTTTTAAACAATTTAGCTCTAGATTGTCACTATTTTTGTTATTGGATTGATATTTGGATAATATTTGTATTGATATATTTGTTAGAATTTATGCTTATGAATTTTTGCATTGTTAATTAAAGGGTTAATACAAATTTTAGTCCCTCAAATTTGGGCCCAATTTGGTATTGGTCCCTGAAATTTAAAATGTGTGGTATTGGTCCCTGAAATTATATCCGTTTCAAGACCGTTGGTCCCTGGCATCTTTGCACCGTTAAATTTTGCTGACGTGGCGTTAACACGTTAAACTGATGAGTTGGCATTTTTGGTCCCTCAAATTTGGGGCCATTTTGGTGTTGGTCCCTGAAATTTAAAACTGATGGTATTGGTCCCTCAAATTATATCTGTTTTTGGCGTTTGGTCCCTGATAGCTTTAGGCCCTTCTCTTTTTATCTGTTCCTGTAGAACCCTCTGCTTTGCTGTTATCTGGTCTCAGCGGCTCTGGCGGCTTGCTGGTTGTGCTTGCCTTTTTGTTGGAGTTGCCGGTGAGGTTCTTGTTGCTTCTACTCAAGCTTCTTACTCTGGTAATGTGCTTCTCTTTTTTCTTGGGAGGTTCATCATCGTCTGTACTAGAAGAAGATGGCTTCAATGAAGTGGTTTTGTATCTGAAGCCGGCTTCTTCTTCTCATGAACTGTTAAGTCACCTTTTTGGCCAAAGGTAGCAGAGGAGGTAGAAGGTTTAGCTGAGAATGCACTGCATTTCCTCCACACTAATATAGGAGCAGAAGCTTTGTGTTTTGACAAAAGTGAATTCTAGATTGCATAGATTCTCTTCGACCATAACCTTTCATTGCTCATGCCACATTATCAAGTTTTAGTTGCCAAGTCAAATGCCGTATCATCGGTTAACAAAGTTAGAGCCAACTTAGACAAATTTGACGGCGTAAAGCTATCAAGAACCAATAGCCAGAAACAGATATAATTTGAGAGACCAATACCATCTATTTTAAATTTCAGGGACTAATACCAAAATGGCCTCAAATTTGAGGGACCAATACCACGTCCAGGTCATATGCCACCTATATGCTAACTCATCAGTTAATGATGTTAACGCCACGTCAGCAAAATTTAACGGTGCCAAGATGCCAGGGACTAACGGTTTGAAACGGACATAATTTGAGGGACCAATACCACACGTTTTAAATTTTAGGGACTAATACCAAATTGGGCCCAAATTTGAGGGACCAAAATTTGTATTAACCTTTAATTAAATTTATAATTGAATTTTCACGGCAGATTTAACTAGCAATATAGTTTGAACTGCAAATTTAGGTTTAGTTCAATTATATTGGTAAATTGTCTAATTGTTTAATTAGATAATTCTAGATTAATTGTTATTAGTTTTAATGGGATTAATTAATGTATTGCATCGTAGTTAGTTTGTGTTATTGAATTTGAGGGTTTCTCATGTTAGAATTTATGTTTATGAATCTTTGCATTGTTAATTAAATTTTTAATTGAGTTGTCATGACAGATTTAACTAGCAATGTGTCACATCCAGTACTATGGTACTTAGGAATAAGAAAAATTTTTAAAGGCCAAAAATGAGAGGGAGAAATAGAAGAATTTTGGTGAAAAATAATTATTATAGTTTTCCAAGCCAATTATGGAAAGTTTGACTAATTAAGGATAAATTGGTCAAGAATAATTATGAAAAAATATTTTCAAGTCTCAGAAAATTAAGAAAAAATAAGGACAATGTTCCTTGAGAATTATATGGGATTATAAAATTAGTTTTATGACCAAATTATCCTTAGAGAAATTACAAAAGAATTTAAGGGTGACTTAAGCTAGTTTAAGGCCTTTTATTTGGAAAATTCCAAATAAATAATTGGAAAGAGAATAAAATCTCAAGAAAATTCCTATGATATCCCAAGATTTTGGAATTAAAAGAAGACCCTCAAGTATTCAAGATTTTTTCTAATTCCTCTGAAAAGTGGAAAAATCACTA